GTGGCGAGAAGGCACCACAAGTAGCCGGCCAGGAAACCCCACATCGGGGCGCAAAAGGGTGCCAAAACACGGCTCGTTGTTGTTCCTTGCGTCTGCAAGCAAGTGTTCTTCCCGAACTGGGCCATCTGCTGGCCTTGGAACGTTGTCTCCTGGGCTGGGGCATTCGCCAGCGTGAACTCCAGTGGAGGGGGCAAGGACGCTTGCGGGGAAGCCGGGAGGGATCTGCGCCTTAGGCAAGACTTCCTGCACACCCCTCCGCGTGCAGGACAGTCGCTTACTCACTCACTCACTCATTCACTCACTTCTGGGATTTCGGCAAACTTCTTCTACAGGATATTATAATATGTTATGGTATGCTACTGCTATAGCATATGTATACATATATACATAATATATACGTATATAGCTCGAAGAAGCGTCGGCGGACTCGGAGGAAGCTCTGCCAAGGCGAGGCCCTTGCAGCTTGTGAAGAGTGGTCCGTGACTCCTGCAGCGACCTTGCTGGCCGACTGTTTCCAAGATGAGGTCGGATAGGGCTTAGAAGGTTTAGGCCTTCGGGCGCGCGTTGAGGGATACTAGCCGTTGGGAATGGGGATTGGCAGAAGTTTCGGTGAGGCACGTCACTTCATAGTCACGGCCGGGTTGGTGCTCTTGAGCTGCGAAAGCTGGAGGGCAGTGACATGCAGTGACGCTGAAAGCTGTGTGTTCGCCGCAGGATCCTCAACTGGTCGTGGCTGCATTTCGGGCCTTCGCTCAGATCAAAGGCTGGGGATAGCAAGCAGGAATCTGCAAAGCATTGTCAATGCACCCTACGGGAGTCCATATGAAACCCAGCAAAGCCCGTACACACCTTCTGATCCCACCGCAACCCACCGTGAGGAGGCCTCGTCTAGATCTAATCAGCGAACATTGCCTTGCCTGACCTGACAGAGATGAGTTTAGGAGCCTAGGCACAGCAGAGTAGGTTGCAAAGTTACAACTTCCGAAGACAAACCGTGGCGCTCCAAGTTAATCCTTTCCATCCCCAATTCGTGCACAGACGAAGCCGCAGTGTCGCCACACTCGGCTTCCCTCGCCCATCGAGTGGACGATGAGCACTGGCTGATTCGGCGTCCCTTGCTGCAAGGAGTTGGGATCCTCGGGATCACACTTTCATGTACCACGAGAGCTAGAGGGCCCCGGAGCCATGGCACTTATGACCGAATGGATGCTCATGCCAGTCAGGGGTTTGCCGTGTGGAGGGTTGAGGTGCATGACCGTGTCTGGTTTGCATTTTTTCGAATCCTTGCCCAAACCCTCAGTAAAACCCCGTGATGGTCAGCCTTGATGCGAACACCCAGCTCTTGTCCTTGTCCGTTCGTCCAGGCGCAGCCGGCCAGGGACTGGCCCGCTGCCGCGCGGCGCTGCTGGCGGCGCAACTTGGAGATGCTGAGGGTCCAACTACTGTACTTCTCCAGACCTTCTATTAAAGTTTCATGGATCTGGAGTGTGCAGCTAGGGATAGTTATTTGCTTGCCTGTATTTGCTGATATGTGCTGACGGATATCTGTTCTTATTGTCTCTTCGCACAAGACCAAGATTCGGACCGTTGTCGTAGAAGGCACGCAGATGCAAGCTTGGTTTCTTGGCTAGACTTTGGGAGGGTCTTGCAAAGCTCCGCCAAAGGCACCTGCCCAAGCTGGCGGCCCTGAGCCAGGATGTGGGGAGGGGACGGGTGAGGGGTGAGAGTTCTTTTTAGCGTTTTTTTGTTTTTGGTTTTTGTTCGTTTCTCCTACAGTCTTGGGCTTGGGCTGGTTGGTGGCTTCAGGGAAGGAGCTCATCCACCGCAGGCGGTCTCAGGGTCTGAACATGGCGATTTGGCCAGCAAATCTGGGTATGTGCAGCTGGGCAAGGAACACTCCACTGACAGATGAGGTTTTACTCATGGGATCATGCGAAATGTCAGGGCTCCTGTTGGAAGGATGCAGATGTCGAGATTCGAATCGCAGTGTGCCAAGCGATGGCGAAGCTGAACCCAGCAAAGATTTCTCCGCTGCGTGGCTTGCAGTTCATTGGGGAGTGGCAGGTGTTGACTTGGCACAGGGTCCCCGAGTACACGCCACATGCCGGACACGAAAGCCTAGCAGCTGACCAATATGCCCTGGGTACAGAAGAAGTAGGTAGGTCAAGCTCAGAGGATGAAAGCAAAACAGTCGTCACAGTTCGGAAGATTTTGAATGACATCTCGCTGCCTGAGGTACGTTCCCCTGCTCGCCAAGCGACTCAAGGAAAGGTGATAGTTAACATGCTTTGCAGGATTTGTTTTTGATTTTTCCGTTTGCGAGTCCATGGGTTTCTGTCGACATGCCGGGCGCTTGTACTACATGCAGCAGAGCGGTTCTGCATGGACAAATCAAAGCTTAAAGGTTCTGGCCGGCATCTGCGCTTCAGGACACCCTGCTTGTCCGGTGGAATGCTCTGCGCGCGCTGGTGGAGTGCAAACCCGGCGAGTGACCCGGCATTCTTCCAAGCTGCTTTTGTGATGCTGCGAGGCTGAGATTCCGGTTGGTCCCGACCGAACGAGTTCAGGGGCAATGTGGGGCCTTTGCGTCGTGGTGGTTAACGTGCATCCGGCCTTGGTTGTTTTCCTGACTTTAAGCGTTTTTAGTACTGGCTTTGCAACGGGGCATAAATCTCCGCCCAGGTTGATACCCCATCTGGATGTTCTGACGGAACTGACGGGAGACCACAACAAGCAGGCTCTCGGTTTGGGGCGTAGTGTGTTTTGGAGCCACTGAGCTTTTTTTCCATCATGCACGCGCTTTTTTTCCATCATGCACGCCTCGAAGATGTCTTGCCTGACGGCCAGGTGCAAAGCCTCGCTCGGAGAGCTGTGGCCCGGTGTTACGAACCCAAGCCGCGTGCTCCGTGAGATCGGCCTTTGAACAAGACTCCGGCATTCTTTCTCGGTAGACTGGCCGACGAAGCACCTAAGCCCGTTTCAAAGAAGGCGTCCAAGGCCCTTTCCAGTTGCAGTTTCCGGATCGGCCATGGCCGTCCCTCCAGTCGCCTTAAGCTGGAAGTGTGCACAGCGCACAACAATGGGAGATGCTCTCCGGGTCATGCTTCGGACTTTTTCGTGGTGGATTCTGCCCTTCTCATTGAGAAGCGCTGAGGCTTCTGCACACTGTTGGAACAGTTCGGTCAGCGCTGACCGCTGCTGTCCTGGCTTTGGTGGAAATCCATCCTGTTGGCATGGGCATCGATCCTGGCATTACTGTTGTCTGTCGGATGGCAACATATATGACTATTCGAAGCTTTCACAATCACTGGCCCAAGCGCCAGCTCTTCACTGGGACAAGATTGATGTGGACTGCCTTGGGCGAAGAACCTGGGAAAAGCTGGCCTACATGCTCAACGCAGATGCATCCCTCAAGAGTGGACCAGACGTGCTCGAAGCGGAAATCGTAGCACAAGAAGAACTGGTCTTTTCTTCGCTGAGGTTGGTGACGGACCTCGGCAGACCCAAGCTGCTGGAGAGCGGGTCTGGTGGGGAGTTCGGCATGGGAGAATGAACCGTCCAGCAAGAGTGGGACCTGCACTGGAGGCCGAAATGGCTCCTGCCCAGCCCTCTCGTGCAGATTCGAGAGCGATCCTCGGATGAAGGCGATGAATGCTATGCCGGCGATGAAGGCCATACCGGCAATCAATGGTAGAGAGCAGCGCCGGCAACAGGCAAAGCTTGTGTATTGCGGGCTCAATATCGGAGTTTCATTACTCCTGGCTCGACAAGCAACGAACATTATACTGAATTATACTGTTGGCACAGATATGACGCTCACGTGGGATAGCAATAGCTGTCTGCGACTCCAATCCCGCTGTACACTGGAGGGTGTGAGACGAGGCTTGTGCATGCCTCGAGCAAAGCCTACATGCAGAAGGCTTCAAGAACTTGTTTAAGCATCTGAGGCTTTGTGGGTCTCACGGAGAAGATGCGGGGCACGAAAAGTTATCAAGCATGCGAGGGCCAGTAGCCAGGTGATGTGCTTGTACGTGCATGCCGGATTAAACGGCGTCACAGCATGGAGCAAGCCGAGGTTTCACACCGTCTGCTTGCTCGCCAGAGACTCAAGGAGCAGGATCAACTTCAAGCGTGGACTCACGCCATCGAGCTTTCGAAATTAAGCCAGATACCTCCAGTCCCGGGTATCACATAGAGAGGTGATCATGGCCAATGCTGGCGTCATCATCCATTCCAGCAACTGGGCCATGGCAAACGTCGGCCAGGACTCAGATGCTTTGACTTTGCGAACTATGCCCTGCAGAGCTTCATTCGCTTCATTCCGGCTTACACATATGAACCCTATGTGGCGTGGTAAGCGGCCATCGGAGTTTCGGCAGGTTCGAGCACCCACTTGCTTGCCAGTTCCACTATACTTCACTATACGTACGCATACACATACTTGCATGTGCCTAACATGCACGTGCATACATACATAATATGCCCATACGCATGCACAAGCACATACACATAAACATTCACATATACATACCCATACACATACACATACATATACACGTACATACATACATGCATACATACATACGTACGCACATACATACATATATATACGTACACACATACTTACATACGTACAACATACATACATGCATACATACATACATACTCACAAACACATACATATACATATACATATACATGTACATGTACATATACGTATACGTATGCGTATACATACACATACACATACACATACACATACACGCATCCATGCATGCATGCATACATACGTACATACATACGTACATACGTACATACATACATACATACATACATACATACAACATAAACATACATATACATTAAAATATACGTGTATATATACACATATATATATATACCTGCATGCATAGGTACGTACATACATACATACATACATACATACATATACACGCACATGTCTATATATATGTATATATATATAGAGATATACATAGACACATACACACCTACTGTATCCCTGTCTCTCTCTCTCTCTCTCTCTCTCTCTCTCTCGCTCTTTGTACTTCCTGTCTTGTCGATCGCCAATGCAAGCTACCTTTCCGCTCTGTCCAACTACGAAGACAAGTCGGCAGGTGCAAGGCCTGAGCAACCAGATATCGCAATGATGCGATGTATGTAATCGTTATGTAGTCATGAGCTCAGAAGCAGCACTTTCTGCAAACAAACATTAGTCATGCTTTGCAGGACGAGCCAATTGAGATCGTCATCTTCGGCCATGTTTTCACCGCCTTCTACACTCTGGATCGGGCTCAGGGGCAGTGTTGCTGCATGCCATCTGTGGGGTTTGCCGTGCAATAATAGACTTTGACGTGCTGCCCGGTGACGCTGGCACCATCACCGTAATCGCCATGAGAAACATCTGCAGCTTCATCATCAGCAGCCAAGGCCGCGGCCCCAGCCACTACCAGCATCACTGTGCCGCCACCCCCGTCCCGGCCACGACCACCAGAGCCCGCACTGCCAGTGTCGCCGACTGCCGCCACCACGACCTGCCCCCCAGAACCGGTGTCATTGTATTCATCATCATCATCATCACCACCAGTGTTTCTGATCCGCATCCTCATCCCCGCAACCATCATCATTATCATTATCATCACTATCCTCATCAGCAGCAGCATCAGAGCCAGCATCAGCATCAGCATCTGCTCTTTCCTCTTCACATCTTGCTCCTCCTCACCAGCATCCGAGTCATCATTGTTGTCGTCATCGCAATCATAACTATAGCCCGGCCGTGCATTTGTCACTATGACAGTCATCAGCAGGTGGGGCCTGTCGACTAGCATAGCAGCAGATCACTCTCGAATCGCTCACCCAGTCGGCCCGACTCTCACTGTGTTATGCCACTCAACCCTATGTTTCTATGAACATGATGCTACAGCGACAGATCGGAAGCGGAAGCAACTCGACATGTTCAGGAGCTGCTGCTGAAGCTCTCAGTTCATCGGCTTTATTTCTTTGTCGCTCGACTGCCATCCAAGCTCGACTGCCATCCAAGGGGTGAAGCCGAGTGTAAAGCACTTGTACTGCTGCCTGCACAGAGTGTGACAGGAGGCCCCGCACCGAGTCGAGGACATGTGCACCCCAAGCCCCCCTAACGAGGTGAACGCAGAGGGCGGCTGGAATTCTTTCGACTTTGTATTGGTGCTTTTCGCCTACTTGGAGCTCGTGGCAGCGCAGCACCCCCAGTACCGAGCATTCCCTTGTGTGCAGTGATCCTTGGGAATATGGTCTCCGGGCAGTGAGAGATTCGCACTTCTGCTTGGAGGGTAGAGCACTGGTGCACGGTTCAGGCTTCCGGATCGGGCTCAGGGCCCTGATGAATTGTTGTCACCGTACTTCACATTGATCGCGTTTACAGGTGAGAGGGTACGCTACGGCGAAGGCGCAGGTTCCGAGCTTAGGGCATTCTGGGCGGCCACAAGATAGGTGGCGAATGCCTCCATGATACGGAAAATGCCCAACAACATATCAACAACAGTATGTGTGTGTATATATATANNATAGATAATAGATAGGTAGATAGATAGATAGATAGATAGATAGAGAGAGAGAGAGAGAGAGAGCCTATATGGTAATTTTTATTAGTATTCGTCCATATTATGCTTTGGTCACCTTCTTGTCTAAAACTGAAAAAGCCGACTCCAGGCAACGGCGGAGCAGCAAGCGCCGCTAGTACTTGGTGATTCCTCCCTCTACGTTACTAGGTCCTAGGTACTCTTCTAGTGCTCGGCTGCTAGGCTGCCACGCTCCGACAGGCATGGCTATGAACAGGTTATAAGATCTGGCTGATTTGTACACGAAGCGTGTCAGGGGGCTGCGAAGGCCCGATGTGAGCGGCTCTCGTCTGCGGCTTCGTCGCTTGTTCGTGCTCGACTGACCTAAACCCCAGATGCGAGAGGAAAAAAGATGATCTAAACCAGCCCCGCCCTAACGTCTTGAACTTCGCAGCGTCTACCAGCAAGGCCTGAGTAGATGAAGGGTTCTTACGAGACTCAATCAAAGCAGGCGGTCAAACCTCGAAGAAACCACGCAGAAAGCACGGCCCGACTTCTATCAAATTATCAGACTGCTACTCGAATGAATGGTGTATTAATAATCTTCATATCTAAGTACCCAAAATTGCTCCTAATATCTCAGTCCGAGGTCGCTTCTGAACCCGACCTTCCTCCGAATTGTGCGGCTGGTCAAAGTGGGGAGGCATGGGAATATTGCATTTCCGTTCAGTTCTGCATTGTGGATTAAGGGCTGGGGGAGTTTGCGCATTGAAAGAGGCTGCCTAGTCAGTCTGGGAGGCACAAACCAACTCTATAGCCACGAACTGCGGATGGTCAGGAACTGTGGGATTAAGCCTTCATGATAGCAAGCACGATGTGGTTAGCTCGGTGCAGCGCCGGCAGGTACCGCTGGTCCTCATGGCATTTAGCGAATTTCTAGTTTCCACTTGCCTCGTGCCAGGATCGCCAGGATGCTCAAGGCCCTCCGCGCATTGGAGGACCTGCGCACGACCCGTGGCTTCCAAGAGGCTGAAGATTTTCAAAACGATCTCAACAGTTCACAGACTTCCTGGCATGAAGGCTTCAACTTCAAACAGCGCCTTTTTGAGGGGATCTGGGTAAGTTGTCGTTGTTTCGGACGAGCCCCGTTGCCGTACCGACGTGGTTCAAAAGCTTCAGGTGCTCGTCTCTGTGACATTCTCTGACAGTTTGGGGGAGTAGTTTGGGAGTAGTGTTAGCGCTCATCAAATCCCGATCCCCGATGCGGGGAGCGCATCTCCAAAACCCCAACCGGCGAGAGCACAAGGATTCTGGACTCCCTCCTGGGCTGCATGTTCACGATGGCTGCTTGGGCACGCTCGGAAGATCCTAGGTTGTGATTTTGCAATGGTATCATGCTACCCTCTCGCCACCTGGTGACGAGAGTCGCGCGCTTGAATCGAAAGTTCCTACAGATGCAGCAAGAGCCACACTTGTCGGGGCCTGTTTTTCAGCGACGTCAGCAAGTGCGATCGTACTCTTGAGCTCGTTTCCGCACCTCTACCATCGCAGTGCTGTTTGGTGAAAGCTGCACCTTTAGATTTTTATGCCGTCAGCCGGTCAAATTGTGGACAATAACAGTACCGCCAAGATATGCCCCCAGCTAAGTTCTGGTCGCTGATCTTGCTTGCCTTCCTCCTATGTCTCTTCGGCATTTTCTGTGTCTCCCGGCTTCTGTCGGGCTGTGACTTTGAGGTGAAAGCTGAGCATTCTGGGTTCTGGTTATCCAGGTAGTGGTTGTTCAGACATGCCCTGCGGGCCATGCAGACACTGGCCTTTTGCCGCCTGCCCAGTGGCAGCACCCTCAGTTCAGCAAACGAAGCTTCCGGTACGAGTGCCCAGCTTGAAGTTGCCGGAGGCGGTCTAAGGCTAAGGGGGAAATATGTGCACAGTTTGGGAAAGGTCCGAGCCCATGGCACAATCCCGCAGAGAATTCCGGCAGTCTTGAGAATCCAGCTATTTGGAAATGATGCACTGCGCAATCCTGTGAACGACCGATTGCTGACCACTGAAAAGCCTCCGGGACCCTGCCCCACTAGAGCAAACCTCCTACCTTGCAACCAGTGCCACATCCTCAAGCTACGAGGTTCAGATGGGAGTACCTCGGCCTTGTGGATCCTAGGCGTGCGATGCTAATCCACCGCTGGAGCTGATGTCGTCGAGATGCGCTGAATTCAAAAATTTGCGCAATCCCTTTCTGAGGTCGAAGGCTTCTCCCTTCCCGACGCGTCCTCGTAGGCTTTTCTTGCGGGTTCTTGCTCTCGGGGAAGTTGGAGAGCTAAGTGTGTACCAGGAGAGCAAGGCATGCATACGAAGCGAACACGGCCTCAACCCTTGAAAGCTCAAACGTGAGATCAGGCCTGTCGGTCCATAAGAAAGCGGCATGATGTAGAAAGAGCACAGGCCTCGCTTGGAATGTCCGACTAGAACAAACGGTCTAGAAAGGTTGGGTTCACACAGTGCGCTAATACTAGTACGGTTGGACGTTGCGATGGCAGCTAGGCTTTGACTGAAGCCTACGCGTTTGCTTCAGAGTGGGTTGAGTTGTTTCTTGCATAACCACTTCCCCGGTTATGCTGGTTCGCTTTGCATTTGTGTTGATGTTTGCTTTTGTGGGTTGAGGACCCCAACAACAAGGTTGTACTCGGGACTTCGTGCCTGTGCCAGGCCGGGAGAGGAGTCATGTCGATTGCAGTCTATGAAAGAAGATGAGTAGTGGAACAACGCCCAGTAATCGACATAAAGTTTTTCCTTTGCTGGCCCACCCAGCAAAGGTCGCAGTTCCAGCAAGACTTGTTGACGGAACTTGAACGGTGGGCACAGCACTGATCTCGGTAACCGGTGGAAATTCCGCCTAAGCAAGACTACAGCCGGGCTCAACTCGCCGCTGCGCGAAGGTGAGGGGATGGAGTGAGACCCTTTCGAGCCCCTGCGTGCTCAGGTAACGCACGTCAGCAGTGTAGGCGATGCCCTCAACCAGCCGCTGGGAGCAGAAGTTACACTCAGAGTCCGTTTGGCTTCGCGAAATAATTTTAGGAAGGTCTGGCTCCGGAGGTGGCTCCAAGGCATCCAGAGGATCAAGTCATAATTCACCATCCGGTCTTGCTATTTCAGCGGCTCCGTTGCCGCGTCATGGTGATCTGAACCAGGCAGATCAGACCTGAAAGACCTGAAGGCGATTGCTTTTGCCAATACAGATCTTTGCCAATACAGATCTTCAGTGCAGAATAGTGCAACAACTTTAACACAAAGTCGTTCTAGCGCTGACAATCTCTTCGTAGTCGAGGCGTTACAAATGATTGACAAGTTTGAGTTTGCCGGCCTGCCTTACTCTGCAAGGACGTGGTGGACCGAGTACCAGCGGTACTTCAACAGCGTGAAGCTCGACGGCAACGGATTGTCGTTGTGTGGTGCTAGGACGGTGTCGCGCAGGTAGGTTCTGCCAATAGCGCAGATGTCTATGGCCAGTTGCATGTGCAAAATGATGTCGCAACTTTGTGGACCATCGATCAGGTGCACAGCATCTCCCCTGTATGTCGCTAAAACATGTGACAGTCTTTAAGCTTCCTCCCGCATGTGCCACAAGACAGCACCGATCATCCAGCTAATCAGTGCGTTTGGACGAACTGAAGCCATGCCGTGCTGCACGTCAAAAGTCACCTTGACTCCATTGGCCCTGTATGCGCGATCCCTTGCGAGGCAAGTCGAGGAAATTAAGACTGTCCCCATGAGGGTTCCAATGTATGTTGTGTCGATGGAAGAGCTGCTGAAAATGACGGAAATCCGTCCTCACGAACATCTACTTGCTGAGGGTATTGTCGTGGAGTTCCGCGAAAACATGGGGAAGGCACTTTTCGTTTCCCATCAGTGGGTCGGCATGCAACATCCCGATCCAGAGTTAACGCAGCTGCGAGTTTTGCAGCAAGCCCTACGATTTGCCACGTCCGAGATGAAGTACATCCCCCTGGACTTTGTTACGGAACTCTCGATTCCAAGTGCCAAAGGCCTTCCAGCGGCAGCGCTGCTATCAAATCCTGTCTTTGTCTGGTATGACTACTTTTCCTGTCCGCAGCTTGAGGGCACGCAGCAACAAGATCCTCATCCTGGACGGAATGGCCCACGCCTGACCCTTGCAGATGCGATCAGTAGCATCCCGACTTACATCGCTGCTTGTTCATTCTTTGTTGCGCTGTGTCCGATCATTCAACTTCCACAACAGTCGCAAGTTCTTTCACCTGGGACGTGGGCAGCTCGGGGGTGGTGTGCCGTTGAGCGCACCTGCCGTGAGCTCAGCCGTGATGAATCGTGGATTATGGTGAAGAGCCCTACGCACGTGGAACTGGTGCTTGGCAAGCGCTCAACTGCCTACGGAGGGCCACCTGGTGAAGGCAAGTTCACCGTGCCGGAGGATGCAGATAAGCTCGCGCCGGTGTTGTCCAATGCAGTGCGTGCCAAGCTACTGGACCTTCTGAGAGCCCAGGATTTCGTGAGTTACCGGGTGTTGCTGAATCTGCGGCCAGTGTACTTGAGAGGCTTGCGCGTGGAGGACACATGCCAAGTAGTGCCTGGGTTCCATGAAGACGCTGGATCTCTCTATCCCCTCGCCGTGCAACGCTTCTTCTTCCAGAATGGATTTACGGCTGTAGATGAGACCGACAAGGGTGGATGGTCGCCTTTGCACTACGCAGCCTTGAGCGGAGATGCTGACTCAATTCGGGGCTTGCTAGCGCGGCGTGCTGATCCGAACTGCAAGACGAAGAAGGATATGCCTCAGGTAGAAATACCATCGTCCACTTCACCTTTATCCATATGCGTTTTGCACAGCCACAACGTAGCAGCACGAATTCTTATAGCTGCCAGAGCTTGGGTCGACGGCCGGTCGGGAGTTGTCGACCCGGCCCTCACAACAGCAGCGGAAGCAAACAATGCCGAAGGCATCCGCATCTTGTGCCAGGCTGGCTGCAGTCCGCATTTGAAGAATTCTCTCGGCATTTCTGCCCTTCAGAGCGCCTGTGCCAATGGCTGTTTGGCTGTGGTGGAGGAGCTCGTTGCGCAAGCCGGCGAGACGGTGGATTTGTCTGGCACCCTTGGCTGCGCTATGCTTTATCGAGGAGACAATGCCGATCTGGTTTTCCGACTCGTAGAGATGCGAGCGGATGTTAACGAGCCTACGAGCATGGCAAGTGAGCCTCCGGTGGTCCGACTCTGGATAAAACTGAAAGGCTTGCAATACAAACTTGGCTCTGCCACCACTTCTTCCCGTGTCTTCTACCATGCACCTGGTGCTACACCATTGTTTCTGGCCATGCTGACAGCACAGTACACGGGAGCTGCAGCGCTCATCGCTCTCGGGGCACGACTGGATACACGGAATGCGCGGGGATGGACTGCAGCAGACTTTACGCGCGGGCCGGAGGGCCAGTCGGTGCCGGAGTTTTTGAGGAAGGCCTTCTGGGACAGGAGCCGGACAGAGTGCCAGAGGGTGGCCGGATCCGCACGCACCGATGGTTACGTCGAGCACTCCTTCTGAAAAGGGCTCCTCGGGTAATTTGTACAATAACCTCGTACCGCTACGTAGCTACTCCGTGTTGCAACGGCTATGATTTCCCACTACTGTAACGGTCATGGGGAGTCTCGTTTGCATGAGATCGACGCAGGCAACCACTAGACGCTAGACCCTGAGCATCGTGTTGAGCTCTAAGTCTCGGCTTCTCAGGTGTGCTGTCGAAGAAAAAACGGGAGAGTGCTACACTCGCATATGCGGCAAAGCCTGCATGTGAATGAGATTTGCACCATTTCCAGACAGCGCCCGGAAATCAGGACGACCTCCGGGATTCTCAATCTCTTGGCTGAACGGCTGCATGAGTTTCTGCAATTAGCTGCTATGTCAGCGAGGGAGGCCAAGCGTTTGAGGTGGAGTTGACGAGAGACTTGTACTCTAACGGTCGACGCACCCAAACACGACTCTTTCCAGGCAAGCTGTTGCCAAGCGCCTTTTTTTTTGTAGATCCTGTAAGCGGGAAGCACAAGATGCCCCAGCAAGTTATGGAAGCTGAGGCTCATGTGCATGTTGACACTGCTGGGATGCACCACTGGCGGGGAGGACTGGATCGACATTCACCGCCGCTCGGCCATAGGAACACGGCATCATTTTTGGAGCATTCGCCATTTGGACATGCTGCCGTTCGAGCTCGAACGAAGTGCTGTGCGCGATCCCCTGCACACAGTTGCCTCGCCATGGTCCCACAACCTAGTCTGGGTCGTCGGATTAACCTCAAGAACCTATAGGGTTTTCGGGCCCTTTGTGTGCCTCTAGGGTATCGCACCATGCTTGGACAGGCTTGGTTTCCGAGACTGGCTCCATTCCGGCTGGCATGTTGGTGTTCTTCATTGCGACCTTCTTGCACAGTCGTAGAAGTTAGCTCTCCTGGCACCCAAGCCACTCAGTGTGGAACCCAAGCTTGATCTCTAGGACTCAAGGATTTTGGATGCCTTCGGGCGTGTGCATTTGCTGCTCTTCGGGGATCCCGGCTCCGTCGTTTTTGCGGGCGAAAAGCTGGCAGTCCGAGGTTTTCTTCACTCTGGCGGTCTACAACATTGTGACTCGGCCCAAAGCCACACGGCCGGGGCTCTGAAGGTTTGCCACGAAGGTCTTTGAGGTGTGAAGGGTTTCTTGGCAAGGAAGGGCGCGGGAAAGAACGCGGATCGGACCCCCCTGACGTCCGGAATCCGGCGAGATGAAGGGTGCAGTGCCAACGACCCCAGGTCATGACTTCCTTCATCGACCGAGCCGTAAAGTCCACCCGGCCGACGAATCCTGGCCATGTCAAAAAGCTCCCGGGGTGTGGTGGTGACGGTGGCAGTGGCAGTGGCGGCGGCGGCGGTGGTAGGGGTACTGTAGTAGTGGCAGCAGTAGGAGAAGCAGTAGGAGCAGTAGCAGTCGTTGCTGTGGTTGTAGTAGGAGGCGGAGGAGGAGGAAGAGGCGAAATACTTGTTAATCAAAGAAGAAACAGTGATAGCGACGAGCTAGCAACAATCCTAGTAAGTGTTTGGACCATAGTCCAATCTAACTATAGGAGCGAACCTGAACATGCGCGTCTTGCGCCCCAGACACTGGGCGCGTGTCCGCGACCTGGCTTTATAGCTCGGTAACTCTTTACATTGACATTCCTAAGTCCCTAAACAGGCTTCCAATAGAAATCGAGCCTACCACTGCCATCACCACCACTACTCCTGCTGCTGACTGCTGCTGGTGCTGCTGGTCTGCTACTCTTCTGCTACTACTACTGCGACTGCTGCTGCTACTGCGACTTCTAAGGCTACAGCTGCTACTGCTACTGCTAAGGCTACTGGTGTTGCTGCTACTGCTGCTACGACGACGACGACTACTACTACATCTGCTACTGCTACTGCTACTGCTACTGCTACTGCTGCTGCTGCTGCTGCTGCTGTTACTGCTGCTGCTGCTACTACTACTACTACTACTGCTACTACTACTGCTACTGCTACTGCTACTGCTACTGCTACGGCCACTGCCTCTACTACGACGACCACCACAACCACCTTCACTTCCACGACGACGAGGGACTACAACTGGTCTGGTGATTGCTAGTACTACCTCAACTGCTACGTGGAATGGTGGTTTTACGATTCTTTTATCGTGGTGTTTATGGTTGTCATGATTATGACTCAAGACAGCGACGATGCTTCTCATGTTTCTGCCGGTGCTGATGAGTAGGGTGATGATAACGATGCCGAAGCTGATGCTCATGTCGCTTATCTGCATGGGCCGTTGCCAGAAAAGTTCTGCTTTCTTGGGATGAACAGCATTAGTCAGGATCCGCCGGTTGTCCAGGTTTTGCTCAAGAGCAGGTCGGTGAAATCAGGTAAACCAGCGAGAGCGTAGGATGATGATGTCATCCCAGGCATGAGTTGTTCGCAGTCTTATCGTGCCCAACGGCAGCGCATGACACTGTAGAGTTTGTCATGATTGCCTGGCTAGACAAACTGTAGTTGGCCTGTGGACCTGCAGGGCAAGGTGCAAATGGCGGCATCCGTGCAGTGCAGCAATGCGAAGCTCATCGTGTGGGCGCTCGTCCTCGTGGCCCTGTCCGTGATCAGCATGCTGGTTGGGGTTGTGAAAGATGCGTATTGGCCCATGGTGGTATGTGCGTCAATGTCAGTGCTTCTGTTTCTGCTGTTGTTCGTCGTCATGTTCACGAAGACTGCAAGGGCAGAGGGTGGAACTGGGAATGACACGGAGACGGAGAAGGAGTGCCATTGTGTGTGGGCGGGTTGCAAGTTCGGAGAGCTGGACACATCGACTCCCGCCGGCCTGGTGTTCAGCCTCATTTCCGTCAAGACCGACCTGAGCGATGTCGAAAACACGAGCAACACCACATGGACCGCTGTGACAACAGTTAATCGCACACTGTCAGCGAGCATTTCTAGCCAAAAGGCTTGTGCCTGCTGCTTGGAAGACTTTGACGCAGACACCGACGTTGCTGTCCTTCCATGCGGTCATGTCTATCACGAGGAGTGCATCGCTCGCTGGGTTTTGAGGTCGGCAAAGGAAGCCTCCTGCCCCACATGCCGAACACCGTTCGATCATGCGGCAGAGACTATCGTGGCAATCTAGGTCCCGCACCACGGAGGTGCATCTTACGGCGCCGCAGTTTCGGCGGCAGCATGGCGATGCGGTAACCCTAAGCCTCAATTTGAGGGGTGCAGTATTTTCGGGATCGCTTGCGAAACAACTTCAGAGCACATGAACATCCCAGCCCATGATGGAGCAAGGGAAAAGCAGTCGTTGCTGCGGCAACAAGCTGCCAAGCAGCTTCTGACTTGTAACACTTTGCAAACATTCTAAACTTTTTTCACAGTTTTGTCTTATCGTAGCTCGATCGACATAGCTCCGGCCTGTCATGTACTTCTCGGCAGCTCTGGCTCTCACCATGTCTTCCAGAGAGTCATGGGCTCGCCCCGAACTTTTTTAACAGCGTCAATGAATCTCCGGAGATGGGACATGTGAAGTACTCCAGACTTGCCACGGAGAAAAGTGTCCGGGTCCCCTTTAGACCACACAACCCACGCCTCGACAACTTTAGCCTCTTTCAGTGCTCTCCAGCCGCTGGCCCTAAACCCCTAAACCCTAAACCGAAGCATCCGACTGCCCGAGGATGGCCGAGAACCTGGAAAGGAAGCAGGCCGAGGACCAGATCTTTGCAGTGCAGCTCTACCAGATGCTCTTCGAGGCTGGTGTTTACTATAATGTAGTTTAACCCGATACAATATACAATTATATTACAGCATATAATGTTTTACTATCATCTTTTGTTTTCTTGTTTCCATGGGTTTCGCAGCCGCCAGAATTCCGACAACCTGCGCTGTCTTCTTGTATGAATTTGTGTTGGTGGTTCGGCTTGCCATGCGTCCTGTGCATCCTGCAGCTTGTGTCTGCGTAGGTTTATGTGGCTTTCTGAAGATGCTGGTGCTGACTCGTGTGCAACAAGAGGAGATCTGCGCATACTGACAGTATCTGGCCTTCCAGAAGCATTTATACAGTCATATGAAATTCTGCATTCAACATCATATGGATGGTTGAGCACCTGCGTTTCACAGTACCCTTACGATAGATTCTTCATGCGGGTATCCGATGACCTGCAGACAGATGCATTGCCAATCTGACGGGTGTTCATGTGAAGTACACACTGTCTTTACATAGCATAGCAGAGTTGAGCACGGGGTTTCTTGCAAAAAAAGCGAAAGCTGGAAGAACTCCTTCCCCCTAATGTTATCCCGGGGGTGGGGGGCCCTCAATGAGAAATCGACTTTTTTGTATCATTAGAGTGACTTTTATTCCTTTGTATCTTTTGAGTCTGACGGACCTTGCTCCGGCTCTTGCTCCCGCGCTGGCTTTTGCTCCTGCTCTTGCTCTTACTCCTGCTCGTGCTCTTGCTGTTGTTCTTGCTCTTACTGCTCTTGCTTTTGGTCTTGCTCCCGCTCTGCTGTTCCTCCCGCTCTTGTTCTTTCTCCTGCTCTTGCTGTTGCTCCGACTCTCGATCTAATTTCTGCTAAGTCCTGCTCTTGCTCTTGCTTTTGCTCTGCCTGTTGCTCTTGCTATTGCTCTTACTCCTGCTCTGACTCTTGCTCCGGGCCCCCCAATCCCAATTAGGTTTTAAAGGGCAGGGATGATTTCGGGAGGATTGGCCCCAAAGTGTTGTTGGGGGTGTTTTTTAATACATGGGTGACGGGATTACATTGCTTTGCCAAGCTGGGAATCACCAGAATGCCGCAATCTGTGGCATCATGTAAGTCACACCGTGGAATGCCGTGTGGGAGTCGTGCACGCGTAAGTCTTGTGCACCTGGACAGCCTGTTCAAGCTCCAGCATCATCCGGGGCGAAAGTCCTTCAGGTCGACTGGGATGGCGACGGCCGCCCCGCTGCAAACATGCTGCGCGAAGATTCGGGGTCGGCGCTCTGGGCGTTTACAACGGCTGGAAACGTGGTGTCTTGACCTGGGAACAAGGTTCATGGTGACTCGGCGGCGGTGCTGCATGGGTCTGCTAGTTGAGGACACATCAGCATCGATGAGTTTCGGGAGGCGATGGGAAGTGAAAACCAACTGGCAGCCACTCAGCTGCAGCTGACCCAACTGCAGACTTGACCTGGGCGCAATATCGAGCCACAGAGGCAGACATTCTGTACAGAGGTAGCACGTTCATGCTCGGGGCTAGGGTAGTGTGCAAGGCGTTCGTCTGGAACCCAGGACATATGACACGTCACCTGATTCAGCAGCCTGTGCCATTTATTGTGCAATTTGGTGCTTGATAGCTCCAGCTTCTTCCTGAAGATTTGATATGATTTGATTGAGCTTCACGAGTGTCCCAGGCTTTCTTGAAATTCCATGGCCTCGACATCAAAGACTGTCACTTGTCTTCTTTATAACCGAAGTCCGATATGGATTTTGACTGGAGGCCCAAAGCCTTGGCAGCGTAGATCTGTGAGACCTGGAGAGGTGGGGCACCTTTAGGGTTGAAGCTTACGTTCTGCTTCTCTGAGGCACGACGTTCTTCGCGATGCTTTCGCCGAGCCACTTGGCGAAGCTAGGGACATCGTTTATTAAATGTTGGAGGTCCCCGAAAGCCTCTAGGCGTGTCGTAACTCCATGGCGGATCCGATGTGTCGGATTTTTCGAATGACTCCGTTTCTGTGGGGCAGTGCAGTGCAGGTGCTACCTCCGTGAGCTTCCTTGACTTCGTCCAAGAAGCTCAGCGAGTTATGACAATGATTGCCGGGAGATTGGCAGTGATGGTCATGGTGATGGTGATGATGCTCGTGGTTGTCGTGCCGGTGGCATCATCAGGACCGTGCCGCCGGGAACCGCGGAAAGTAAAGCTGAGCTCCACCCACAATACTCTGGCCATGACGAACATGGTGATGGTGAGAACCTTAATGATGTCATCACCACGGTCCATTTCAACCATGAGCATGCTGGCTTGCGAACAGGATGGGGCCGGCGGCCACTATATACGACAGCATTACCCTTGTAATTCCATTCTCTGACCAGCCTTTTTGGAGCCTCGGTCATGTCCGGGTGAGAGAATACCGGTAATACCCAGAGTCGGAAATCCGAAGCATGGTCAAATCTTGACCCTGTTCATGGGTTTTTTGAAAGTGGTGTCAGGGACTCCGAAATCCGAGGCATGCTGCCGGATGCGAGGTTCCGCTTCGTCTATGGACGTGAGCCTGGTCCAGTGGCCACTGATGGTTCAGAGACTTTTGCAGAGGATGTTTTCTGGGCTTGATGCTTGATGTGGTTTACCTGGTGGATTTGCAAAGCTTTCATGGATTTGGGCAGGTGCCTAGCTTTGATGACTTCCCATCATCATGCCATGGCATATGCAGCTGTGCTGATCTGTGCTCAAACGGCTTACTTGTTGCCAAGTTGTCGGCTTCACTGAGCCTTGGTTTCTCCTGTGCAGCCCTCGACACGTCTTTGTGGGGCAAACGGGCAAGTAACATTTGACTCGACACGCCTTGGCAATGCTACTCTGTTGGTATGGCTGTTTTGAGGTTAGCTTCGAAGTGAAGTTGCTGCTTCAGCGGCAGCGGCAGCTGCAGCAGCCCGACCTTGATCAAGGGTCCTTACCGAGTGCGGCAGGGTGGTCAGCGCTGGGATCGTTGCGAAGGCCGCGAATTTGCACCCTTGCAATTCCCTAAACTGGCTTGCACATGTCGTCGTAGGCAGACTGCTCAGTGTGAAGGTTTTCTCTCTGTTTCCTTGCATTTTCGATAACCCCAGTCCGCCGTCTCACCGAGGGGCGAGCTGCAGAAACAGTTTCGTGAGCTGGCATCAAGGCCGGAAACAGGGTTGAGGAGATACGGAGTTTTGGACTCCGGAATCCCAACCGAGTCCGGGCTTATGCCATGAAGTTGGTCCCTGGATGCCTGCGCTTCACACATCGCAAGATGTAGTCAACCAGTCGGTCACACGCCCCGCGGTATATGGATAGATATCCTGGCACACTGTAGGGCCGTAGGGTTCCAGACATGAGAATTCTTGTAGAGGTCTGGTTATCTCACGGTGGCTTTCAAGGAATGGGCCTGCTTCATCCCTACCATATGTGACCAATTCTCGTGGCGGCCCCCCCAGTCTTCTCACCTGCATATTGGTGGCAGGCTGCAACGCCCCAGGGAGAAATGCAGAACTGTGCAAGGGCGGGTCGGAGAATGGCGATGATCGCCCAGGGGGCGATGATGATGAGGCCGGTGTTGGTGCCGGCGACGACGACTCCGATGCAGGGAGTTCTACCGGAGTAGGCCCCCGTGAACTTCCAGCTACAGTACATACGGAGGAGTTGTCGTTTCAACCACATTCTTGTAGCAGCGGGTGTGAAGCTTTGTTTAAAGTTTCCGTATTGGGCACAACATCTGTATACTGACTCTAAACTTCCCGGCTGCAGCAGATTAGGTGCGACAAGATAACCTGACAAGAGAAGATCTCTCGAAGCCAGTCCATCAAGCCCTTGCAGTCTGGTGCATGTTAGGCTCCTGATGCCGGTTGCAATTTTGATTACCTTGTATTGTTTTTACAACAAACTTCTCCTTGTTTCTGCATACACCTTGATTATGGGGTAGACGAGTTGGCTGCTGCAGGTTCCCGCATACAGGGCCGCCTGCCGAAGGTTCGAAACTCAGACCCCCGACCGTTTGCATTGCCTGTGTTCGTGAATGCGTGTCCTGACACGCAAACTACGAACTATCTGCCCAACAGGATGCAATTGAACACCCTAAGACATGTATTGTGGCATTACAGTAATGCCAAACTTAGATGCCAGTTCAAGTGCTGCTCAGGAAAGCATGGATCCTTGGCGAGCCTCGTTGCGAACAGAGTGGCCCAGGAAGGTTGTGTATGTTTGTGTTCACCCTTGTGTGCGTCAGTGCTAGAATTTCGTGTGGAACAAGACCTGCTTCCTTTTCTGGTACAAAAGCAAAGCACCGTGCAGAGAGAGAGAGAGAGAGCGCGAGAGAGCCGGGTTAGCTCGCTGCTCGTCTGCCCCTGCTTGGGCCTCCTCTGACCTAGAGGTCGGGATTGGACCTTCGTCGGATGTGAAAGGGTTGGGCTTGTTTGTGAGAGTACACACGCAGGCCAATATTTTTCAGTCACATGTACAGCATGTGCACACAGATAAGTATGAGTGTATGTACATGTATGTATGTATGTATGTTTGTATGTATGCATGCATGTATGCATGCATGTATATATGTGTGTATGTATGTGTATGTATGTGTATGTATGTGTATGTATGTGTATGGATGTGTATGTATGTATATGTATGTATATGTATGTGTATGTTTGTACATGTATATGTATATGTATACGCATATGTATATGTATATGTAAATGTATATGTATATGTATATGTGTCTGTATGTGTGTATGTCTGTGTGTATGTGTATGTGTGTATGTGTATGTGTATGTGTATGTTTATGTTTATGTTTATGTTTATGTATGTATGTATGTATGTATGTATGTATGTATGTATGTATGTATGTATGAGCCTTCACGACACAAACCTCGCCTGACGTCGTCGAGCGCGAGTGCTAAACATATATGTATTCATGTACATTCGCAGGCCGCTTATGTCTACACACATTTACTATATGCATAGACAGATGTCATATTTAGTCCTGTGTACTGCCCAAGGAATCTGGAGCGCGCGGTGCAGAACTCCGGGCCGACGCCTCGAGGCACTTATGGGAGGATCGAGAGAATGTAGGATGATGTACCTTGATTTCAGGTGTTCCAGTAAAGTTGGTTAACCAAAGCTTTCGACAAAGCTGAATCATGGAAGTTCGGCGTTCCCACCCTTCGGCCTTGCATCCGGAAGTAGCCTGTGCTGAACGGCTGTCATCCCAAAGAACCCGGAGACAGAAACGACGCTGAACAGAACGGTACGCCGTAAGTACAAGAGTGTTCCAGTCTGCTCGTGTTCATCTATGCCGTTGGTAACCTGAAGGCCTAAAGAATCAAAGATCACATCGACCCAAATCGCAGACTACGGCCCCCGCCCCTCCAATCTTCTCCCTGACAGGATCTCAGCAGTCCAGACCGAACCTGAGCGATGCTTCCTGCCTTTCTTCGATAAAGACTTAGGAAGAGGGTGGTTTCTTAGTTTGGGGTCTGCTGGGTGGATGTGCTTCTCTTTCATCCATGGTTAGGGAGGAGAGTATGGGGTAGGATTTGGAGGACATGGAGCTGCGTGCGTCCGCCTTGCAGCGACAAGGCCAACACAGTAGAGTCAGTAGACTGATAATAAAACCATAGATGATAAGAGCGCCAGTAGTAGAGAATGCCAGATCCGTTAATGCCGCACGAAGTTGGAGTTTCTTCTGATGAATCTCAGATCCAGTGCTCCAGAAGCCTCGCCTGGTGGGATGTGAGAGTCGAAACCTTCCGATGCCCCTTAATAGCAATAGCAAAGATAGCAACACCGCCTACAATTTACCATAGTACCCACAGCTAGCACAGTAATTTCAACAACCGGGCAGGTAATAACAACATCTATACTATCATTAGTGGCAACACTATTGGCAGCAATTTAAATTATTGGCTACTATTAGTAAAGATGGTAGTAGTACAAATAATAGCAACAAAAAGCTATTAGCAACATTCACAATGAAATCCCGAGGCGGGCACCGGGGCATGCCTGGGATCGCCCGACCTGGCAGACGCAAGCTGGCAGCACTGTGTTTTCATCAATTTTGTTCATCTGTGTGTATTTCTAGGTTTGTGTATGCCTACCCGCACAGACAGGCATGATATATACATACATGTCAGACACACATTTACAGATACCTACATATATATATATACACATACATACATACATGCATGCATGCATACATACATACATACATACATACAGACATACATGCATACATATTTGTCTTTGCATTTGCCTTTCATGTGTCTGGATATTCCTACAGAGAGACATAGGCAGAGGCTGAAGCTTGTTTTGGCCGAAGCACACTCAGATCGATGGCAAGGGCGCTGATGCTGCGGAAGGGCATGGCACCGGCACGAAGGCCAAGTAGCGCTTGCAGCTCACAACTCCAAACTTATAGGGTTTAGGGTTTAGGGTAGCCGCTTCCCAGCTGATTGGCAGAGTCTGGTTAAAAAAAGGGTAATACCCAGACTACGAAACCGGAATGGCAAAGCCGAGCTCGAGCGCAGTGCTCAAGCCCTCTGACCTGAGCTCCAAAGTTAGTCCCGTCGACGCCAGGACCTCCAAGATTTCCTTCATGGCATCAGCTTCACTGCTGCTCTGCCCAAAGCTTGAGCACACTACCGAGTGAGACCGTAGGGAACCTCAGGAATCCCGTGTATGGTCCATGGAATTAGGGTTGTAAGGAATCCCTCGTGCGGTATTTAAGTCTATTGAGTAGTGGCTAGGCTAGATACATAAATACATAAACACACAGTATGATTCTCCATCCCCTAGTATATTTTCGCTAGCCCTACTGCTGTTACAAGGCCTTCTTTTAAATTTTTGCCACTTATGAGGGGAGGATGTTGGAAACTTCAGCATGCATCCAAGTAGATGCCGGCATTCAATGCTGCCTCGAACACACGCAACGCAGACACTCTCTGCGGCGACGGAAGATGTGCGTGTGTGTGTGTGTATATGCACCTTGCATGTAACAAAAGATCGCTGGACTGATGACACACCTATAGTTTATAGAAGCCAGTTGTGTGCGCTTCATCACGGGTGCAGCAGAACGTGCGGTATGATATTTTATGGCTCATACACGGATGCTTGGATGAAGGGTTCGAGACATGAAGCTCTCGCAGCTCCTCAGATCCTCAGTCATACGCTGGAAACTGTAGAAAGGTCGAAGCACTCACGGCCAGCGACATAAGCCCATGGGTCCGAGAGCTTGGGGGGGGGGGGTATTGATCGCACCATCCTAGGCGAGAGCCAAGGCCAAGGCCAAGGCCAAGGCGAAGGCGGTGGCCGGAGCTGAGGCCATGGGTTCCGGGGGTGTCCGGGACTTGCGGCTTTCCTTGTGGCTTCAGGAAGAGATTCGCTGAGGAGACTTGACATAGTCGCGACGGACGTCGCCTCAAACTTGTTGTCTGGAGCTCTCTCTGCACTTCTTTCTGCGAAATCATAATGCACTTCGTAAATGAGCTGAGTACAGACAACCTGAAACTGCAGGTCTTGGGGTCATCAGGC